CCTGCCGATACCGATTTTTGCCGATTCTGATTTTCTTTCTAAAAACTAAAAACAGTAGAGTAGGTGGCGGCTCCCAATACCGGGTAATACGGAACCCCTAAAGGGAATAAATACGCGATGGGAGGAAAATATATAGGCCTATTTCATTATTTTCTCTCGCAGTTATATCATTGGGCAATTATACTGTATATAAATTGTGGGCATCAGGGAGCCGCTATTATGCCTGGCATTGAAACTGAATGCGCGATCGCTTTTTAGTTTCACTTTCGAGATTCGCGATCACACGTACTCTGTATATACTATGGAGGGCAAGTACTTACCACACATTTTACAAGATTAAATGTTTATCAGTGGTGCTCAGGATCTGCAAATCATTCGCCATCATCCTCAGTCATCTCCCCTTACACTGTTTATGTGGTAAGTAAAATTGTATGTACTGTAATGTAACAGTCAACCGTTAGCAATCGTTATTTGTTTTCCGTTTGTTTTTCCGTAAAACGAGCATGATGTTATCGTTTACGCGGTCGTCAAGGATACACAGAGAGAATGTGGGCAGCCACGCCATCGTTTTCAAAAAGTCTCCGCTTTGGTTCATTTACACTGAAACGCAACCCTGGCATTTTCAAACTAAAATAGCTAAAGAAAGTAGAACGGAAATCTGCAGCGTTTTCAAAAGTCTCCGTTTTCGAGGGTCAAAAAGCCGGAGTAGTGTAAACGACAGGCATAACCGTAGCAAAAGTTATGCGTTTTAAAATAAAAACGCACTAGTGTAAACGTAGCCTAACACCGTGTCCTAACTACACGTGACGCAACGCCGCGACACGCGACAAAAGGTAGTTTTTCCATGTTAACCATTTTTAGTCCTAACTAGCCGTGACGGTCACATGTGAAATTTCTATTTTAGAAACGGTTTCTATTTCCGCAACTTTCGTGGCTGGAACAACAACATACAAACTTTATGACAGTAGATAATTCTCAGGTGATTATGTGCTTTATTAAAAGTTAAACGTGTCTAATATGATGATGCAGCTCGTCAGAATGCTCTCGATGGTGCCTCTGTAGAAGGTGTACATGATGGGGGCCGGGGCTCTGGCTCTTCTTAGTTTGCGGAGGAAGTAGAGACGCTGCTGTGCTTTCTTGGCCATTGCTGTGGTGTTGTCAGCCCAGGAGAGATCCTCTGTGATGTGCACACCCAGGAACTTGGTGCTGTTCACCCTCTCCACAGTCACACCATTTACGGTCAGAGGAGCATGCTGAGTGCGCACTCTCCTGAAGTCAACAACAATCTCCTTCGTCTTCTCCACATTCAGAGAGAGATTGTTGTCACTGCACCACCCGGCCAGGCGGCTCACCTCGCTCCTATAGTTTGTCTCATCTCTGTTGCTAATGAGACCCACTACAGTCGTGTCATCCGCAAACTTAATGAAGAGGTTGGAGTTGTGTGACGGTGTGCAGTCGTGGGTCAGCAGAGTGAAGAGGAGGGGGCTCAGCACACATCCTTGGGGGGCCCCAGTGTTCAGTGTGATGGTGCTGGATGTGTTGCTGCCGACCCGAACTGCCTGAGGTCTTCCAGTCAGAAAGTCCAACAGCCAGTTGCACAGCGAAGTGTTGAGCCCCAGCTGGACCAGTTTGTGAATGAGCTGTTGAGGGATGATTGTGTTGAATGCTGAACTGAAGTCTATGAACAGCATTCTGACGTATGAGTCTTTTTTGTCCAGGTGTGTGAGTGCTGAGTGGAGGGTAGTGGCGATGGCGTCATCGGTCGAGCGGTTGGACCGATATGCAAACTGGAAGGGGTCCAGGGAGGGGGGGAGGGCAGACTTGATGTGGTGCATGACTAGCCGTTCAAAGCACTTCATGAGGATGGGGGTAAGTGCAACTGGACGGTAGTCATTGAAGCAGGATGGAGACGACTTCTTCGGGACTGGAATGATGGTGGTGGCTTTGAAGCATGTGGGGACAACAGCCTGGCTTAGCGAGATGTTGAAAATGTCTGTGAAGACATCAGTGAGTTCCACTGCACAGTCTCTCAGTACACGCCCAGGAATGTTGTCAGGACCCGGAGCTTTGCGTGCATTGATCCTGCTGAGGGATCTCCTCACGCTGTCCGGGGACAGCGTCATCACCTGGTCGCCGGGAGGAGGTGGAGTCTTCTGTGCAGTGGTGCTGTTTTGTGCCTCAAGATTATCTATAAGCAAGTGTGCTCCAAAACAATGACAAAATTCGCATATACAAGATATAAGCATTCAAAACTTACAATCTCTAACTTCCGCCAATACGGATCAGCGATTTTGATGACACCGCCCTGCACTTCAGCTTCTCATCAAACTTTATGTCCAATCAAATGCTCTGTAGAATCCAATAGTGTTTTGTAATCTCTCTTCAGAGGTGTGAGAGTGATGGAAACCATCAGCGGATTCTGGAGAGCAGCAGTGGAAAACCGCAGGAATAACGCGACTGCATTCTGTCAGACTGAATCCCTGAACTTTAATGGCCTGGTGCAGAAATGTAGGTCAAACTGAACCGCAGGAACACAACGAGCGAACGGCCCTCCAGATCCGCTCAACATCACAGAACGAGAGCAGAGAACTCAGCCGAGGACAGAGATGCTGATGTTTCTATTCTCTGAGAAACAGATAAAACACTCATCAATAATGATGAAGAGCTACAGCCGCTGTGCTGTGATTATGAACGCAATTACAATGAAAATCACTCTGGAACTGAAATTATGTGCACTTGAACACAGGTGGCTAAAAATAGCTGCAGCACTTAAGAAAAACATTAAAAGACAAAAGAACCAGCGCATGCTGACTTAAAAATTAATGGATTTGAATTTAAGAAACGCAAGAGACGGAACCAAAGGGACTGAATGCATTAAAGGGACAAAAATAAACAGCAACATTAATAAAACTGAACGTAAATAAAGAGTTCTTACTCATCTTGACTTATTTAGTTCACATTCTGCTCTGTATTTTTATGCGACTAAATAAAGTAAAACCATTTTACCTGCTGATAGCTGCTTGCTTTCTTCATATTTGAAAGAGATTTTGATGCAATACATTCCTATCTCCTCATATTTTAAATCAGATATTACAATTCACATGAATTATTACACAATTACTTCTATTGCTCTCGTAATAAAACATCTTACTTACAGGCAACTTACAGTTCACTCACTTTCTGGAATATTTTGGGATTTTCCCTTCAGGGATCAATAAAGTACATCCAATATCTCCAATCAGAAACTGTAAAATACGCACATTTATGAAATAAAACAAAGTCTTTATACCAAATCCTCTTAACAAATCTGTGCAAAACCTGTCCAAACAGAAGATCCTGGAGACATACGACCCGTCCTGACCTGAAACCCATTAACTAGGCACAGATGGGTTAAACCCTCTTAAAGGCTTAAACTTCCACCCCATCAAAAACGCAACGGAGAGGCAGTCTGAGCCGTCTGTGACCAGCTAACACAGAGTTCATGGGTAAGTTTGTGCTAATCCCTTTATTATTCAATTTCACATTGAGATTCAGAAGAATAACTGACTGCATACAATAAATACTCGCCATGCATGCATTTATTTGATCAGAAATACAGTAAAAATGTGAAATATTATTACAATTTAAAACAGCTGTTTTCTATGTGAATATCTGTTAAACTATCATTTATTTCTGTGATGCGCAGCTGTATTTTCAGCATCACTCCGTTTTCGAGGGTCAAAAAGCCGGAGTAGTGTAAACGACAGGCATAACCGTAGCAAAAGTTATGCGTTTTAAAATAAAAACGCACTAGTGTAAACGTAGCCTAACACCGTGTCCTAACTACACGTGACGCAACGCCGCGACACGCGACAAAAGGTAGTTTTTCCATGTTAACCATTTTTAGTCCTAACTAGCCGTGACGGTCACATGTGAAATTTCTATTTTAGAAACGGTTTCTATTTCCGCAACTTTCGTGGCTGGAACAACAACATACAAACTTTATGACAGTAGATAATTCTCAGGTGATTATGTGCTTTATTAAAAGTTAAACGTGTCTAATATGAGTTTGAATATCATTTTGCGTGACATTTATAGCCATACTGAAAGCAACAACAGATAGATTACCCTAGATCTTGTCGCTGGAATCTTGTCGCGTTGCGTGAAGTTAGGACACTGTGTTAAGTCAAGTCAAGTCAAGTCAAGTCTGCTTTATTGTCAATTCTTCCACATGTACAGCACATACACACAGAGAAT